AATGATTGGAAATAAGTTGATAGCGATCTCATGTTATTGCAAATCATTGAAAACTGGTTGAGCATAATTTTATACTTGTCTAAATCATTAACAACTAGTTTTTAAACAATCCATGTTGCTCAAAATGTCTGAAAACTAGTTGATAGTCATTAAAAACTTGTCTAAATGTATAAGGACTAGTTTATAGCAAGTTTAGGTTGCTCAGAATAACTGAAAACTGCACCAACATTGTCCAAAATTGCTTTATAAGGTAGCAAAATCTTTCGAAATAATTTCATAGCTATCTCGTATTATTCAAAATCATTAAAAATTGGTTGTGCATAATTTTATACTTGTCTAAATGATTAACAACTAGTTCTTAAACAATCCATGTTGCTCAAAATGACTGAAAACTTGTTGATCATCATTAAAAACTTGTCTAAATGTATAAGGACTAGTTTATAGCAAGTTTAGGTTGCTCAGAATAACATTAATAATATTAAATTAACAAAAATTAAACCCTCACCCTGCATCCCCATCTCTAAATTTGGGGGTTCTGATCGTGCACGGGGATTCTAGAGGGTTCGACTTAATTATTTAGCGTGGTTGCAAAGTGAAGCACTCCACGGGGGATGAGAAAAAAAATCCTAAAGTTACTCAACAAAATGAACAAAAATTAAACCCTCACCCTGCATCCCCATATCTAAATTGGGGGGTTCTAATCGTGCAAGGGGGTTCTAGAGGGTTCGACTTAAGTACTTAGCGTGATTTTAGAGTGAAACGCTCCCAAGTAGTGAGAAAAGAAGTTCATATTTGAAATAAAATTTTAGGACCACTACTTGTTTGATCGACTGTAAATATTCGAATCTGTGTCTGGCGAGTGAATCTAACTTCAGCCACATCTATATCCTAGCCAACGTTCATTCTAAATTGGCACGATTACTCTTCAGATGCTCTCAAATATATTGTATCAGAGTATCTTATACAGGGTGGTCAAAAATTGAATTACCGTTTCTCCATATTCAATGGGGAGAAAGTCGAAAATTTTAAACGGAACGCCCTATATTTTATTAGCCTACACGAAAGGGAATATAATTCTCTACAATTTATCTATAAACATTTCTATACTTATTTATTGTAGTTTCTCTCATATTCGTAAATTTATCAAAACATGCAGAAAATGCAGGAAACCGTTTGTATTTTTTATTAGAAGGCCATAACATTTTGACAGTTGTTTGTTTAATTTATTTCTATTATTATTTGTATTATTAACTACGATTGATAATCTTTTAGTTTACTAGCTTTTACTTATCAAAAATAACAAACAGAAGATCAAATAAATGAAACTATTAAAACAAAAAGTTTTTACTTTTCCTCGTGATGGTCGTTAGGTTGGGTTGGGTTGGTTTACCTAACTTTTAACTAATGACAACAATAATACAAACATGGACCAAAAACTGTCAACATTCCATAGCTTTCTAATTAAAAAAAAACTGCATTTCATGCATATTTTAATAAATATCGCAATATGAGGCAAACTACAATAAATAGGTATGCGAATGTGTATAGGTAATTTGCAGAGAATTAAATTCTCTTCCTGATAGCCTAAAAAAATATGAGGCGTTCCATTTAAAATATTCGACTTTCTCGCCATTGAATATGGAGAAACAGTAACTCAATTTTTGACCACCCTGTATAAGATACTCCGATACAACAAATGGCAATCTATTTGACAACATCTGAAGAGTAATCGTGCCAAAGTAGATCTTTTTTGAACGAACTTTGGCTGAGATATGGAGTTTTAAAGAAATTTACCAAAAAAAGTTTAAAACCAAAATAACTCGAAAACAAAAAACGCTAGGTACCAATAACTTTTATGAAAGTCAACCTATTTTTTTACGTACAATTAAAGAGTGTAATAAAAACTATAGCATTCCATTTAAAATAGCGAAGTTATGGCGGGGAGACACCCTGTATATATTTATACAGGTGATTATCGTGTCATATCTTAAGAATGGCAAAGAATGATACATTGTGTTATAAGAATTTTTTATTCATAAAAATAACCCCTCAAATTTTTTCTACTCATACTTGATATATACAGGGTGTGTATATAGAATATTTATGTTATTTAAACTAAAATGTGATGGTTCAACCAAAGTAGATAGATCCTTCTGAAATTTTGTATTTCTCATTTTGAACAACTTTTCTTAATAAAATTTTTCCGTATCATGAACGAAAAGATCACTTTACCTAAACTAAAAATACTTTTCGATTAATTGTCAAGGCCGCCTTTGTTTTCAAAATATGAAAATATTCTTAAACTTCTCTTCACACCAAGCTTATAATAATTCCTTAGCCTTATAATAAATTTCAAAAATTTTAATGTCATCATACCTCTTGTAACATCTATTCTGGGACACACTGTATATATTTAAATTAAGTAAAGTTTTTTTTAATATAAATGCATTACGTTTCTAGTTCTAAGTCTAATCTAGTGACGTCACGTATTAATCCGTTATATCGAGATTTTCTTGTATTATTATTATTATTAATTAATTAATTAATTAATGTTTATTTTAGCTTATCCAAACAATAAATCTAATTACGTAATCAATAAGATTGTTTAACTTAANACGTTTCTGTTTATTTATTTTAGATATATAAGGCTTTTTACGGGCTGTTCTTCCATGTAGGCCACTTCTATGAAGTGTTCTTCGTATGGTACTTGAACTTCTGGATGTGCTTGCTATCTGCGATATGTCGTTTGCTATTTTAACCGTACTTGTACATGGATTATTCTTCACTTCTCTGACCACAGCTCTCGCCTGTGCTTCTATAAGGTGCCTTGGTCGTCCAACGCGTTGTAAATCCGCTACAGTATGGTGTCTTGTGTATTTATCCAAAAAAAATTTTATTGTGTCCCCTTTTTTTGCTTTTTCGCGTAAGGATTTACCTTTTTTATTTAAGTTTAATATAATTTTACGCGTTTCAATACTTGTTTGTTTTCCCATGATAATTTTTGGTATTTACAATTAACTTCGACGTTCAACCACTTGCTGTTTCTTCTAAAATGTTCTAAAGTTGTCATGACAGGGGTACTTATACGAAGATACTATATTTAAATCCCGTAATAATTCAGTTAATTGTAAAGTGTACAGAATTTACACGTCAAAAGAAAGTAAACAGAATACGTAAATAATAGATATTAAGTACAAAAATAAATATAACATCAACTTTTAATACTTGGTTTGAGCTCGTTTGGCCTTCAGCACCTCCCTTAATCTCCTTGGCCTGGATTCCACCAAGCTTTTTGTAACATCTGAAGGAATTTTCATCCATTCTTCAGCTTTTTTAAGGTCGTCTTTATTTGAAATGGTCCTTTCTCTGATCTTCCTGTCAAGGTGATCCCATAGATGCTCTATAGGATTAAGGTCTGGAGACTGTGGTGGATGATCTAGGGTTTTAGAGACTCGGTATAGCAGCCATTCCTTCACAATTTTGGAAGTGTATTTTGGGTCGTTATCCTGTTGAAAGATCCAGTTCTCTGATAAGCCCGGGGTAACATTGATCTTTAAAATGGTTAAATAGTCCATTTTGTTCATTGTTGATTCTATAAAAATTAGATTACCTAAAGTTTGAGACGTGAAACTGTGTAGTCCACTTTCTGTCGCGCTCCGTTTTAAGGTGGTTTTTCTTGGTAAATACGCGCTTCTGTTACTTTTTTCTTCTTATCTGGGGACCTAGTNGGATTTACCTTTTTTATTTAAGTTTAATATAATTTTACGCGTTTCAATACTTGTTTGTTTTCCCATGATAATTTTTGGTATTTACAATTAACTTCGACGTTCAACCACTTGCTGTTTCTTCTAAAATGTTCTAAAGTTGTTATGATAGGGGTATATAAGTACTTATACGAAAAGTGTGGTGCTTACCCTAAATATAAAATGAAATTGCAACAACCGGATCGGCTGTTTACTTTCTTTTGACGCGTAAAAATCGGGGTATTTTTACTTTAAAGGGGATTTACCATATTTGTTGGGGTTTTTGTTTAACTATTTTCTACGGAGGAATAGCTCACAAATATAGTCGTAAATTCTGGTATCTAAATTTTTATTATAAGTTAACAGAATCGTAATAAAAAGGGTTTTTAGAAGTAAACAACTAGTGTTTACTTTCTTTTGACGCTCACAGTACGCTATGAGTGTACCAAGGGTATTAATTGGTAGCAAAATTATAAATAAAATTATTTGACAACAAGGTTTTAGAACCTCTTTGTCAAGTTGCATTAACGAAATACGTGACTTTAGTTATTTGAGTTTTTTATGAAAACGACAATGTTTTTTAAAAAATAATAAGAGTAAAACAAGTTTTAGAATTAAATTCCACATAAAATGAAGTAATAATGTATTAAATCCACCAAAAGGTTAAAAAAATCTGTCAACATTTAGGGGACCATCACCCTTAATTAACCCTTTGAAATGCATCAATTGGTCTCAATTTGCTACCAATTAATACCTTCGGTACACTCATAACGTATACCAAATTTGGTTTTTCTAGCTTAATATATTACGAAGATATTCAGNTCTAGTTCTAGGTCTAGTCTAGTGACGTCACGTATTAATCCGTTATATCGAGATTTTCCTGTATTATTATTATTAATTAATTAATTAATTAATGTTTATTTTAGCTTATCCAAACAATAAATCTAATTACGTAATCAATAAGATTGTTTAACTTAACAATAATTACCTGAAAGTCTCGTAATGATGCCTGTCCATATTTCCAATGAGAAAATCAAATACGGACATGTCCATTAGATCGTAAAGTCTTCTCCCTTTATCGTACGGCGGTATTTCGCGAACCAACGAGCAATAATTCGATTCGGTCTCCCATTGTGCCTTCCTCCTTTTGTGGTAAGATCTGCGCCACGGATGCCTCCAAACCTGTCGATATGAAGCACGACGTCGGAATAATATAATGGGTAATAATATAATCTTACCTTGCGCACGGCCATTTCTTTGGGCGGCAAAAACGTGGCGAAACTTCCCTCTAAACTATCCGGGTTGCCGCAAATCGCGTGGGAGGTGTCGCAATAGTAAGTACATTTTCCGTGGAAACATAAATTGTCTGATGGTGAAACGAAGAAAGTTTTTAATAGTTCGCCGTCGGCCTTTTGATACAATTCGGTTGTCATGTTTAAAAGGCGACCTGTTACCGGCATTGCTCGTCGAAAACCAAGAAGTCTAAAACAAAAAATATCTGGTAAATATCTGGAAAGTCTAGGCGAGGCGAGCGATCAATATCAACATAAAGGTGTTGTGTTCGTTAAATAATACTGGTTCACATATTATCCCGATTAAGCCGAGGCGTTACAACATTGACAGATTGATGTAGCGCCTCGGCCGCAAGTGACCTTGGCGACGTTCTTGTAAAAGATGATGTCTTTATCTAAACCAGATCTCGTATGATTAAGTTCTGAATCTGTGTCGNTATAACTTCTGAGGTGTACAACTTAGTATAGGGGTAAGTTACTTTAAATCATCTTAATTTATTGTCCTCTACATGTCCCTGTTCTGTGTCAGTTCTTATGTGAATCACCCTGTATATTAGAATATAAAAATATAAAATAGTTTTGCAAGTTGTCAATGTATTCAATGTATTAAAAATTTAAGAACCAACTTTGAAGGCCTATAACTCCTCAGGGGTACAATTTAGTATAGAGATAAGTTTCGTTAAATCAACATAATTTATTGTCCTCTACATGTCCCTGCTCTGTGTCGGTTCTTATATGAATCACCCTGTATAAGTATTTCAATCTTTATAACCTGGGACCATACTTTATGGCTTTTGCGGGAATTTTATTTTAAACAGAATGTTGTATATGACAAAATCATAAACAACAACAACTTTATATCACTCTGATCTAAATATTTATTATAAAATAAACGTTGATCAAAATAATTATTAGTTACTAAATTATTCTAACAAGGTTGGTATGTTTTCTTTACACTTTTTCTTAACGTTCGTCAAACCAGGCGGGTCGTTGTCGGTGAACTGAATCAGTTTGAAGTTTTCTGATTTCGTCCTCGCCCATCCTTAATATTGCAGTGTTATCCTTCACACACTGACACTTCAATACCTGAGAACCCAGTTTACTAAGCAACTCAAGACAAAATCACAATCCAGTAATTCCTCCTCATTTTCGGTATCCGCGTGCTAGTAGATTTTTTCCTCAGTCATTCTAGACTTTTTCAATGTAGCCTCTACGCTCTGTATGAGCATGTAGATCCGGAAATAAAACCAACTTCAAATACACTAAAGTAAACAAAGGGCTTGTTAACACGTCAAATCTTGTTTGTACATGTTAAAACGTCCAAAGTAGTTCTCCTTTTCAGTTAAACTTATCTGGCTAACAATCGCCAACGTATTCGCCAGCATATATAGAAGAAACGCCAACTGTAGGAGAAGTACACAAAAGAGTACGAGTGTGTTCGGATGCGTCTCGTGCAGTTCGTTCTTGCTGGTATTTGTTTTTTGGTAGAAAGTCGGCGAAGTGGTGTTTGATTAGTATTGATGCACTCGCGATAACATTTTCCTTTTTTTACCGGTTGTATATCGTTCATTAGTGGTGCCGCACTGGATTTATCTCCAATTATTTAATTTTATTATTGGTGTCAATTTNAAAATACGGGGTGTTCCATTTAAAATTTTCGACTTTCTAGCCATTGAATATGGATAAACGGTAATTCAATTTTTGACCACCCTGTATAAGATACTCTGATACAAGAAATGACAATCTATTTGGCAACGTCTGAAGAGTAATCGTGCCAATTTAGAGTTTTTTTTAACGAACGTTAACTGAGATATAGGCTTTTAAAGAGCATGGTGAAATTTGCCAAAAAAAGCTTAAAATCAAAATAACGCGAAAACAAAAAATGGTAGGTACCAACAACTTTTATCAAAGTCAACATATTTTTTTATATATAATTGAAAGGTGTAATAAAAACTATAGCATTCCATTTAAAATATAAGTAAGTACATAAGTACACAAAAGAGTACGAGTGTGTTCGGATGCGTCTCGTGCAGTTCGTTCTTGCTGGTATTTGTTTCGTGGTAGAAAGTCGGCGAAGTGGTGTTTGATTAGTATTGATGCACTCGCGATAACATTTTTCTTNATATCTGGAAAGTCTAGGATGAGCTCAGTTTAATCGGGTGACATTAAATGTAGTGTGGAATAAAGGTGTTCGCTAAATAATACTGATTCACATATTATCCTGGATCCTACAAAGCAAAATGCTCGATTAAGCCGAGACGTTACAACATTGACAGATTGATGTAGCGCCTCGGCCGCAAGTGACCTTGGCGACGTTCTTGTAAAAGAAAAGGGTGGTTAAAATTCGATGTCCGAATAGGCTAACTCAAAAACTATAAGAGTTAGAAGAAAATTAGATGATCTCGTTTTTCAAGAAACTGCTAATGCCGAAAACCTCATAGTGTTAATGTCTTTTGTTTTTCCGCTAGAGGCCAAAATTGAAAATATCGTAAAACCCGCAAACTATCTTGGTTATTATTATTATTATAGGTGGAGTATTATAACTAAGACATTATATGGACACATTGAATAAAGATAGTTATTCCATCAATCAGCATTACCAACCCAACGTAAGAGAAATAGAAATTGTGATGTTTTCATCAATTTTCTGTTATAACTCATTAATTATATGTGTTGGAAAAAAACTTTTCATACGAAAAAGATTTAGAATTAACCCGCAAAACATATCCATTAACTTATTTTATTCCATCGNAGAGTACGAGTATGTTCGGATGCGTCTCGTGCAGTTCGTTCTTGCTGGTATTTGTTTCGTGGTAGAAAGTCGGCGAAGTGGTGTTTGATTAGTATTGATGCACTCGCGATAACATTTTCCTTTTTTTACCGGTTGTATATCGTTCATTAGTGGTGCCGCACTGGATTTATCTCCAATTATTTAATTTTATTATTGGTGTCAATTTGCACAGATAAAAACTAGTTTTTCCGATGCCTTCAACGCAGTGCGGGTGTTGCGGACAGCTGGTGGGGAGAGATAAAACGGGAATTCACTGCGTGTCGTGCGATGTTTGGTTCCACGCCAAATGCGTGGAGCTCTCCGAAGCTGCGGCCTCGGCGCTCTCCGCCCTGGCTCGTCATGGCAGTGTCCTGGTTGCCGTCCGTCTTCTAACCGTAGAAAAACTATGTTGCCGCATGACTTCGATAATCGCGGTGTGGCCTCCACTCCGACAATCGAGGCTGTCTATGAGATGGTTAGCGAGATACGTTCGGTGCTTAGATCTATGAAAGCTAGAAATGATGAGCTAATGACCTCGGTTCAATTCTGCAGCGATCAAATATCCGATTTTGAAAAACTTATCAAAGAAAAGTGCATGGTTATTGATAAGGTTGAGGAAACAGGTCGACACCTTGTCGGTTAGGGTTGCGGACTTGGATCAGTACTCCAGACGTAACAATCTGGAGATACAGGGCGTACCTGAGGCGGCCAACGAAAACATTGTCGATGTTATGAATAAAATCGGCGGCTTTCTCGAGGTCCCGTTAAAATGTGATGATATTGACGCTACACATCGAGTACCTCACATCGGTAGTTGTTGTTATCCAGATTAATTCCGACGGAGACTTGCGCAAACTACAGTAGTTCTCTTCATGTATGAGCAAACTTAGATATTTTCTAACTCGCAATGGCGTCTAATAAATTCATCTCCTTCTACTATCAAAAAGTACGCGGCTTACGCAGTAAAGGTACTATTTTCTATACAAATCTACTGAGTGCGGATTTGGATGTTGTCTGCCTTACGGAGACCTGGCTTTGTCCCGGAATTGAATCTGCAGAGTATTTTCCCGATTCATATGTGACTGACACATTAATGATGATTCAGGTGCTCGGCGTGGAGGTGGTGTGTTGTTACTTCGGCTCAGTATTTAATGCTTCGCGGACCTCGAGCACCAGCAATGGCTCCCGTTGTGGTAGCCCACGTTTTTGCGACCTGTCTCTACAATTTGAGCAGGTTGAGATCTTGAAAGCTCTTAGAGCCGTTAACCCTTCCGGAGGGCCAGGTGGTGACGGTATACCTCCTATTATAATAAAAAATTGTTGTGAATCTCTTAGTGAACCGTTATCAATCCTGTTCAATAGATCTCTGAAAAACTGTGTCTTTCCGCTAGTCTGGAAGCGGACCTCTGTGGTGCCTATTTCTAAATCTGGCTGTAGAAGCTTGGTCGAAAACTACAGACCAATTTCTTTGTTGCCCATTTTTGGCAAGGTCCTTGAGAGCTTAATTTACAAGCCTATTTTTTACACTGTAAAAAATGTACCTTCGACAACACGGTTTTTTTGCTGGTCGTTCGGTAGAGACCAATCTTCTCGAATATACTAATTACATTTTGCATTCTTTCGATGACAACTGCCAGGTGGACTCTGTTTATACTGATTTTAGTAAAGCTTTTGATAAAGTTGATCATCGGCTCTTACTACAAAAAATTGAACATGTTGGTTTACCCTACAGCATTCAACAGTGGCTTGCTTCCTACTTGGCTGATAGAACGCAGTCGGTTACAGTTAGAGGTTTTTCCTCGCAGACGGTGTCAGTCTCATCCGGCGTACCTCAGGGAAGCATTCTTGGACCTCTGCTTTTTAATATTTATATTAATGACATATTTAAGTGTTTAATGTATGCAGATGATCTAAAGATCTTCTGCCGCGTGTCAAATCCTAAAGATTGTTCTGCTCTTCAGCGTGATCTATACGAACTTGCTCAATATTGTTGCACAAACTTCATCACCATGAATTATAGTAAATGCTTTAATTACTTTTACAAAAAAGCCTGGTCCCATACGTTTTGACTACATCATTGGAGGGAAGTTGTTGAACAGGATTACTCTATAAGAGATTTGGGTAGTAAGCTATTATTCAGTGAGCACGTCGATTCGGTGGTTAGCAAGGCTTTTCGTATGCTTTGTTTCGTCATGAGATCGGCTGCTGATTTTACCGACACTAATTCATTAATGACTCTCTATTATACGTATGTATTTAACATTTTGAATTATTGCACTGTTGTATGGAATCCACAATATAATATATTTGTGGAACGACTAGAGCGTGTCCAAAAGAGATTCGTTCGTTTTTATGCTGGAAATCTCATACTACCTATGCTGACTACAACTCGGCGTGCCAATCTTTCCACTTCTTACGACTCGGCCAACGGCGACTTGCTAATGATATAATACTTTGATATAAAATAATTCATAATATTTATAAATCATCCTCGCTTACATCACTGATGCTAGGTGCTAGGTTTTTATGGCGTTTGCGAAAAACACTTCTAATAGGTTCCACTGCTGCAATCTTGATCCTAGCAACCCTGCTTTAGTTTTTGGAAGTTCTATATCCCTCACAAGATCATTTAATTCAGACTGAGTAATTTTATGCGGTTGACGGTGTGATGTGGTCGATGTAAAATCAGGGTCTTTTGATGTTGTAGGCATATCTTCTTGACTAATCTCTGTATCGCTGTTATCTGATTCGCAACCGTATCTTCCTGGGNGATGGAGAATTATTTTTTAAACAAAAAATGTTTAGAATTGACTCATAAGACGTATTGAATAGAGATATTTATTCCATCAATCAGCATTACCAACCCAACGTAAGAGAAATAGAAATTTTGACGTTTTCATCAATTTTCTTTTGTAGCTCATTAATTATATAATAATAATAATAATAAACAAGTTTATATACGATAGCGCTTTGAGGTTTTCGGCATTACTTTTCTTCTAACTCTTATAGTTTTCGAGTTAGCCTATTCGGACATCGAATTTGAACCAGCCTGTACACCAAATTTCGTATGATTAAGTTCTGAATCTGTGTCGCTTGCAAACGAGGTCAAAGTGTATAAGTAACTTAACCGGAAGTTTCTAGAATACAAGTTATATAAAAACCTTGGTTCTTATAAATGAACCTAGATACAACAATAACAGCTCTTGGGTTGAGTGAAAAATTGTTTTTGAATGTAATGAAATAATNGTTACTGTGTCCCGTCCAGGGCAACTTCTGCAAGAGCTACAGAGTTCTTGGACTCCGTCTCCTTGGCTGGTTTATCCCAATTAAATCATCATTGTAATGACTTTGGTAACATTCTTGATCTTGTTTTTTCCTGTAATGTATTTCATTGCGAGGTGGATTTGGGTAATCATGCTTTGGTGTCGGAGGACCGTGCTCATACTACGCTAGATATATCATGCAAATTCTTAATTCCTAGAAATTTATCCCACTGTAGTGAACCAATATATAATTTTAAAAAGGCATCATTTGATCAAATCACTTTGTACTTAAATGAGGTGCCCTGGCGGGATCGTCTGAGCGGTGGAACTGTGGATGAGGCTGTTACTTATTTTCACGAAGTGCTATCTGACGCTTTTAAACTATTCGTACCGCGCAAACGAGTCTTCGGGCTCGGTTTTCCATACTGGATCTCGATAGATACTATAAAAATAATTCGTGAAAAACGTAAGATGCACAAGAAGTGGAAGCGGTATAGAAATCGACTCGACTATTTAACTTTTTCCCTTTTGAGGGGTCGCTCAAAGTTCCTTGTCGATCGTGATTACCGCAATTTTATTGTCAATGCTGAGAGCAGTATACGGCATGATCCCAAAAGGTTTTGGTCATTTGTTAGAGCTAAGCGCGCGACAAGTGACTTGCCTGCAGACGTTACGTTTGCCGGTGTCACTGCTACCGATGGTGCGCATATCTGCGACCTTTTTTCTCGTTACTTCGGCTCAGTGTTTAATGCTTCGCGGACCTCGAGCAGCAGCAATGGCTCCCGTTATGGTGGCCCGCGTTTTTGTGACCTGCCTCTACAATTTGAGCAGGTTGAGAAATTGAAAGCTCTTAGAGCCGTTAACCCTTCCGGAGGGTCACGTGGTGACCGTATACCTCTTATTATAATAAAAAATTGTTGTGAATCTCTTAGTGAACCGTTATCAATCCTGTTCAATAGATCCCTGAAAGACTGTATCTTCCCGCTAATTTGGAAGCAGGCCTCTGTGGTGCCTATTTTTAAATCTGGCTGTAGAAGCTTGGTCAAAAACCAATTTCTTTGTTGCCCTTTTTAGGCAAGGTCCTTGAGAGCTTAATTTACAAACCTATTTTTTACACTGTAAAAAATATTTTGGACCCTCAAGTACACGGTTTTTTTTGCTGGTCGTTCGGTAGAGACCAATCTTCTCGAATATACTAATTACATTTTGCATTCTTTCGATGACAACTGCCAGGTGGACTCTGTATACATTGATTTTAATAAAGCTTTTGATAAAGTTGATCATCTGCTCTTACTACAAAAAATTGAACATGTTGGTTTACCCTACATCATTCAACAATGGCTTGCTTCTGTGGTGAGGCCGCCTCTGAACGATCTCGACCTTTGGTAATACCGCTGCCACCAGAAACAGTATTTCGCGCTTCCTAACTCTTAGTCTGAAAGACCCCTAATTGATCTCAGCAAATCAATCAAAACTAAATGACAAGCGCGCGGTCACTATTTCAGACCCGTGGGTTCTTGCACTAGGGCTCTGTCAGGAAAAGGGGAAAAGGGAAAATCAAAAGACAAGTGTTCTAACCACACTTAAACTATATTAACAAAATAACAAGAAATAATTGACAATGAACAAAATGAAGCTTAAAATCTACCTACGTTTATTTACGACCCGACATTACTTAAAAAGAGATATTTCTGAATCTAACCCCGATAGCTAATTCTCGTTGACAGATAGGTGATAACGCACACTGGCAAAGGTGAAGGTTTCAATACCAAACTTACACCAAATCCTCAATAAAAACACAAATTACCGACACGACCCGGATGCCCGAAGTGCAAAGAATGTTTACAATTGAAACTAAGTCACAGTTCTCGATATGCGACGAAACTTAGAATTGGCGTTAAAGCGAATTCTAAGTTGCTATCTAACGGAGCGCTGACGACGTTTCGACTCAAAAATCTCTTAGGTTCGTTGTGATTCTAATTGATTGTGATTGTCCTGAAAAAGGTCTTACAAGCTCTTAAGTAACCTCAGGTATTGGAGGGGTGCAAAAACCTTCTTGAGGCGTTCCTATCGCATGGATGTTCCCGACACTTAGGCCAATCCATAATACGGGGCGGATATTTTACAATAATTTTCTGAACCAATGAGGGAATTTGGGGAAGGGAACAATTTTGGACCGCGTGGTCAGAAGATAACATCCGCCACTAACTAATCCCAAAAGTCATCACATAAATCCCAAACCGTGGGTCAAATCAACTTTACGTATTTCTAACGTCTATATTTATTATTATTTTTATTTCTTCGTATATACGAACTATATGAAGACAAACTATTGTAATCACGAAAAATCCGCTTCGAGGTTTTGATAAATCTTTACATTTGATGGTCCTAGACTCTATTTTGACCATTTTAGCATTACATCTGTATGTATGTGTTAGTATATGTGAAGTATATAGTATATGTGAAACATGTCATGTTTGCTTTGTATTGCTTTTCCTTGCTTTGTAATTACCGATGGACTCAAACTATCAATTTGCCTTTGTATACCATCCACGACGGATTTCGTTTTCTGGAGAGTCTCTTTAGAAAACTCAATTGAAATTGGTCGACACAACCGCACAGAAGAGGGAACAGGATTTTGCCACACTACCTTACCGGTTTCTTCGTCAGTTAATCTAATAGGTACAAATGAAGCTATGAACAAATTAGCATCACATACCACATTAGACTCTTCAGGTAGTACTTGCTTGTATTATGGCTTTGTCCAGATGAGCCATCACATCCTCACTTACTATATAAAACTAACTTTTGTAATCCAGATTTAAAAAAAATCTTCTTTGTACGTGATGCTTCTGTCCAACGCGAATTTATCGCGGTAATCAGATTTCTTTTGAAGTGATTAATTATTAACTGTATGTTATTGTCTGAAAGGAGATACTGTTCACGTAAAAATTTAATTAAGCCCGAAAGATTTTTTCGATCCGCAATGTAAGCGAGAGCTACTTCACGTTTTAAGCATCTTAATATAACCATTTTCTATAATAGTTTCTTCGCATATATTGTATTGAAAAAAACTAATTTTTGCCCATAGCAAACATAAAAAGTACTATATTACTATAAATAGAAATATTTACGGATATTAGAGCACTTACCTTATGAATTAATAATTTTAAATAATGTTCTGAAAAGAACAGTACTTAACAATGACAAACGATAAGGCGGAAGAAAACTTAAGACAAAAATCGGACGTTACTTTAGGATATATTATGACAATTTAAGCTACTTAACCTAAGAAAAGCCATATTGCATTTAAGCTATGTACGTCGTCAGTAAACAAAAATAACACTTCCGTGCGTGACGTGGACCTTAGTATTCTGGTCATAACTTCTAAATAGGCAAATGTTGGCAGCTAATTTTTTTTAGTGTTTTAAAGAAAAAGTGTCTTTAAAATTATATATATTTTAGACCATCGCTAACTGCTAAAACTCTAGCTAAAGAAATCTCGAAATTGATGGCATCGGATAATCCCGCGTTTATTGTTAAAATACAACGATGAAATTATTTATTGGTACCTGAATTAGGTTCTCCATTGAACAACCTTTTCGGGAAGATATGACGTTATATATGTTTCACACTAAAACTTTATATTAGCAGTCGTTAAAAATCACTACAAAAGTAATCGAAATACGTGTGAAATCAGAGATATATAAACTTTGATAATTTTTTTTTTACTTAAATACGTCATATAAAAATAAAACTTATGTTAATTAATAAAATCTGACATTTCTACTATAGGATTCAATTGAAAAAAGAAATAAATTTCGACTTTCGAAAAACCCATTTATGATCAGCCAACGAGTCAAATTGCCCATAGTGCGGCGGTATTCCGTCTCGAATGGAGCTGAACGGTGAAGTGGCGGATGACGGGAAGCGTATAACTGAACTTTTCTCTCAGTTTTTTAGCTCTGTTTATATCGACGGTTGCCTGAATACCTCTCACAAGCGAAATGTTATTTACCAATCGCAGCCGTGGTTCTCTGAACGTGATGTTTCTCACCTTCTGACACAAGTCGACCATAAATTGGGCCCTGGCCCCGATGGCTTGCCGGGACACTTTATTGCTAAATGTG